GGGAGGGGGAGGGAGGGAGGGAGAGAGAAACATCGATGTGAGAAACATTGATCGGTTGCCTCTCGTATGCACCCCGACTGGGGATCGAACCCACAACCTGGGCATGTGCCCTGACCGGGAATTGAACCTGCGACCCTTCGATGCACAGAAGGACGCTCCAGCCAACTGAGCCACACCGGTCAGGGCGATCCTTCTTCTTTCAAGTAAAATGAACTGCCTCCAAATTGCCAGCATGAATCAGCCAAGCAGTTTAGTTCACTGGACCCTCAGTCTAGGTTACGGTAATACCAGTATCAGAGGACTGGACAAGATCAGGAATGGAGCGGGAGCTCTGGGCGAGGCAGCACCCCTTCCCCTCCCCCTATTCTTGTGAGAGGCCATGGCAGACAGAGTTTGTGAAATGTCATTTGGCTCCAGGATGCTTTTCACACATGCCTCTGATGCCTCCCAGGCAGGAAGGGGACCTGTCTGATTATTGTATTCTCAAAGGTTTTTACACTTCCAGAATTTGTGTTAGCGTTTCCATATATCTTATTTGGCCTGTTTCCTGAGGTTTCCTGCAAAAGATTGTGTAACAAACTAAATCACTATAGCTGGGAGACAGGTGGCTTCATCACCCAAGGGAGTTTGTGGAGCTTTTTTACATCCCTTGTCTCTCATGTCCAATCTGCAAAATAGAGGTGGTCCATGCCCCCACCTCCTCCCTGGCGACCAAGGCATTCCTCAGATCCCAGCCAGGTTCTTCTTTGCGGCAGCTGGACTAAACGTTCCCCCACGCAGGAGCCAGCTGGTATCTGTAAAGTCCCAGGCGAGTCTCCCTGGCAGCACGGGGCCTCCCGTTGACACTGGCAATTTGCCTGGGATCCTCCAGCCAATTTGACTCCTTTCCACTTGGCAGGGAGGCTGAGGGTTTGCTTGCTGCTCCTGGGCAGTTAAAGCCTCCCGCACCCTGTCCTCATTCACTCTGTCCTTCTGCCCCCTTCACCTCCTGCTCCCGCCCACTCACACATGCCTGCTTCTCTCCATGGAGTCCGTTTACCTTGTTCATAGACGGTAGCACTGAAGCCTTTTCCTTATGGTGGGTGGTGTCCGTCTGCTGCCTCCAGGGTGGGCCAGTGCTTACAGGTCATGAGGAGGATGGTGATGGATTACCCTACACCAGCTGGGGGGTCACAGCCAGCACTCCCATGGATTACACCACTTTCCTTTTTCTTTGACCCGTGACAATACTTTTCTCGATGCACTGATTTATTCTACTCTGTCTTGCATATTTTACAGCCTTGACATCACCAATCGAGTATCAGAGGAACCACAGCGGGGGCAGCGGAGGTGGGGGCAGTGGAGGCGGGGCCCCCAGCGTTGGCAGTGGTGGCAGCAACCACAGCAGTGGCCCCAGCAGCTGCAGCGGCCTCCCCAGCTCAAGCAGAAGCAGACCCTCCCGGATCCCCCAGCCTGTCCGACACCACTCCCCTGTGCTGGTCTCCTCTGCAGCCTCAAGCCAGGCAGAGGCAGACAAGATGTCAGGTATGTCCACTCCCGGCCCTTCACTGCCTCCTCCCAGCAGCAGCCTCACCCTGGAGGCCGGCCCCAGCCAGCTCAGCAGGCACCCCTCCAGCGGCCAGTCCGAAGGTCCAGAGAGAGAAGCGGAGCAGATCCCCAAGATGAAGGTGATTGAGAGCCCCAGGAAGTCCACTGGGAACACTGCAGGTGCCAACCAGGATGGAAATGCCAAGGAGGCACGGGCCCACCCAGAGGACGGCCGCTCGCGGGGTAGCCTGGGCTCCCTGCCCCTGGGAAAGCCCAGGCCCGGGGCTGTCTCGCCGCTGAACTCTCCTCTCTCCACCATGTTCCCTTCTCCACTGGGCAAGGAGCCCTTTCCCCCCAGCAGCCCCCTGCAGAAGGGGGGCTCCTTCTGGAGCTCCATTCCCGCCTCCCCCGCCAGCCGGCCGGGCTCCTTCACCTTCCCAGGGGACAGTGACTCCCTCCAGCGGCAGGCGCACCGCCACTCAGCGCCCAGCAAGGACACAGACCGCATGAGCACGTGCTCCTCGGCCAGTGAGCAGTCCGTGCAGTCCACCCAGAGCAATGGGGTAAGAGCGCCTGGCAGCCTTCGCCCGCCCGCCCCACTGCCTCTGTCCCGCCAGCTCTTCTAAACCTCCCGTCGCTGCCGCTCCGTACTAACTCCTGGCTCTCCGTGCCACACTGCAGTAATCAACTCCTCCGGTCCTCTGTGCACTGACCACGTAGACGCACATGTAGCTCTGTGTGTGCGTGTCTGCCGCCTGCAGGCCTGGACGGGCCCCAGCCCGAGCCCACACCAACGCCTCCTAACCCCTCCTGCTCCAGGACGGCGCTGTTCTCATCTCTACTAACTCGCTCTCTGCTTTGTGTCTCCTTAATGTGGGAAAGCCGATCATTAACCTTCTGAATGCATCATCTGTACGTCTTTTCCGTTTTCCGACCAGCAGACTCTCTGGGAACTTCCTTTTTGTCCCTGCCTTCCTCACACACGTTTTTTTGAGGGGTCAGTGTCCCTGCTGTCTACCTCCTATTTAATTTGAAACCTATACTTTATAAGCTTTTTGCTCATTGCTTGGTCGTGCTCTTTTACGCCTTAAATTATCTTTGCAGCATTTTTGACTCATCTGCTGAAAATAAAGCCCTCAAGAAAACTTCCAGCAGCTTCTCAAAGCAAACTAAGCTGACAAAATGGGGGGAAGGAATCTCTCCAGTGGAAATATTTGCTCCCCCCACAGTTTCACTCTGGAAGAGAGAGACTGCTTTAGGGCTTCTGCAGATGGGGCTCCTGCCAGCAGCTGGAGCAGAGGCCAAGGAGGCTGGCGTGGGAGCGTGTCGGCATTCTGTCCAGCAGGGGGCGCAATGCGGACTGCAGCGCTCCGGGCCTCCTCACCCTCATTTTGCCTGTCACCTCTGTTGTGATCTCAAGCAGAAGGGTTGCTGTGGTGGGTTTTCCCCCCATTTTGTGGCCTCACTCCTACCCAACTGATTCCTACACAGTAGAGGAGGGCCTGACCCTTAACACCTTCCTGAAGGCATGCGTGAGGGGATACAACTGTTCTAATGAGTGTATGTTTGATTGCTTTATAAATTTTTAAATACATTTCCCTAAAAGGGTGTGTGTCTCTCTTTATAAAAAAGAAAATCTGGCTTATGCATGTCTGTCTCTCCTCTGAACTTCTGTTAATTCCTGTTCGGGTCGACTTGCCTTATCCTTTCCTCCTATTTGTTGTTATGTATTTTGTGAAGCTCTGTATTTAATTGAGGAAGATGTTAGGAAATGGGTCTTGGTACATTTATTTACCCTGAGTCTTATTCTCGAACACAAGTGGTCGGGCAGGCATCCTCTGCAGTGGCCATCGCCAGTATCCGTGTCACGGGCACCTTCCCGCGTCCTGCAGAGTACTGGGCCCCGTTGTCAGGTCTGCAGTGCTCCGTATGCAGGTGAGCGTCAGAACGCGCTCGGTCTCCGCCGGAGGAGAAGGTGCAGAGGGCCCAGTGATGCGCCTCGTTGAACACTCAGGTGCAGCCTGTCTCACAGCTGTGACCGCTAAGAAATCAGCCAGGGAGCAGCACGTGAGCCCATCTTCTGCGTGGGCTCCTCACTTTCCCCTAAGCACCCAAGAGTTCTCTGAGCCTGTGTTTCAGAATGAACGCCCAGGGGCTCCAGCTCAGGAGCCTGTGCTGGTCTCTGGGTGCCCGTGATGCCCACGCACAGTGGCACCACCCGGCTCCCTCCCGGGTGTTCACTCTGAGACAAAGGCACCGTCACGTGTGGCACATCATCATCCAGCCCGGCGTAGGCTGCAAAAGTTGCCTCTTCTGCCTCGCACTTTTTTTATGTGGCAGGTAACATGGAAATTTTGGTGAGTTGATAAATGAGAATGCCTTACAGAAACAAGAGGCCTCAGGTGAGGATTTGGCCCCTGGACTCAAATATTTCAGTTAAAAGGAATCGTTGCCCGGCCCCTTGGCTGGTTGGCAGCTGTCTCCTTCCTCTTGACCACTTCTGTGGAGCTGTCTGCGGTCACAGCCAAGCAGTTGTGCCTAACCCATGTCCCAGGTTCTACTTCCTCCTCTATCTGGGCACCTTCTGGAAAGTTCTGCAGAGAACAGGGATGGGTGCGCCAGCCCCCAAGTGTGGATGCACAGCCTCCCTGCATGCGCCCACCTTGGCAGCAGTAGAAGCGCGGCCCTGCCTTTCTCAGGCCAGGTGACGCGTGCGGACCCCGAACCTCCCGCTCCGTGAGGGTGATGATGCTGCCCACTGGCGAGGTGGTTGAGAGTAAAATTAGATGGATTTTAGATGCCTAATACTTAGCCTGGTAATAGGAAGTATTCAGAAAATACCAATAGCTATTATGATTGTGGGAAAATACTCAAATTATGAGAGGCAGCTGTGCCACAGAGGTTGCTTTTTGTTTATGTTTTGTAGTAAATTTGGCTTTTTAATCCCAAAACTATTGACTGTTGCTATATAATCCAGAACACTAAGATACACACTAAAAGGATAAAACTGTATAAATGAGTATGCACAGGCCAGAGCTCAGCAAGGACAGCGCAGGCTTCGGTGAGGGGCAGGAACTCACAGCAGTGCCCTCGATGAGACAGGAGTGACAGCTCGGCCCTCCAGTGTGTTCCATTTAAACATCCCCACGGTCTAGATTCAGAGCCTGGCCCCCGGATTTCCAGTGTGCTGGCTGGTTGACAGCGGTCAGCCATCTGCCCCGGCCATCCCGACAGTAGCCCAGGACTGACAGGCGTGTGGCAGGGTTGTCTGACAGTCACATCTGCACTGACCCAGGATCTGTCCCAGGCATCCAAGAGCCCAGCAGAGGCCCAGGGATCCACGCACGTCTAGACGGCATCATTGGTAGAAGCCTCTGAGAACAGGCCAACGGGAGCAGGGCACCCGGTGCCTTCCCCATGTCCCCACTCTTGATAGAGGGAGTTGAGCAGGATATAGCTCAGCATTTGGCAGTGGTCTCAGCTCCCTCCTCCTACTCCCCTGGAATAAATAGGTCACTTGGTAGATGACAGCCTGGGACAAATGACAAATACTGCCGTTTTGTCTCCTACTTGCCAGCCAGTACCACTCAGCTTGTGGGCCCGGGTAGGTGGCCTTCAGAAATTATCGTCGTCTTACTTTTGCCGCCTTGCCTCATTGACTGAGTTACTGAATGCGTATCGAGTGCCTCCTGCGTGTCAGTCGCGGTACTGGACACTGAAGAAGACACAGTAGTGACCCCAGGAGATCGGGTGCTGCTGGGCTGCAGGATAAGTGTGGGATCGGCTTTCACTGGCGAGGGTCTGTTCCCGAAGCTTCAGTCTCATGGCGGCCAGCGGTGGTCAGAGATCTTCTGTGGTATTGTGTTCACGCGGCAGTGCCTTTGGGACACCTGAATCGTGAGGCTCAGGCAGTGAGCTGAAGGGCTGCTGTTGACAGCTCTTAATAACGCTTTTTAAATGAGCATGGTGGTCACAGTGGCATTCCTGTGACGTAGGGGTAACGAGTGTGGCATGAACACGAGACCTGAGCCGTTCCTCTGAAGGTGCAAGGAGTCGGGGCTAAAACGGACTGAAATAAAAGTTTCCAAATGCAAAGTGTCATATTGCACTGATTTTTTTTTTTAGATTGTTCCTAAATTGCTTTCTAGAGAAACTCTGGCTTTCAGTTATTGAAAAAGCACAAAGGTAGCTAAAGAGAGTCCCGCGTGTGGTGAGCCGTGCCCTGACCCACGCTGACGAGCGAGTTCACGTTACCAGCCTCATTTCAGGTCCCCTCTGCCTTTTCTTCTTTCCGTCTCTCCCTCTACAGAGTGAAAGCAGCAGCAGTAGCAACATCTCCACCATGCTGGTGACACACGATTACACGGCAGTGAAGGAGGATGAGATCAGCGTCTATCAAGGAGAGGTCGTTCAGATTCTGGCCAGCAATCAACAGAACATGTTTCTGGTGTTCCGAGCCGCCACGGACCAGTGCCCCGCAGCCGAGGGCTGGATTCCAGGCTTCGTCCTGGGCCATACCAGCGCAGTCATCCTGGAGAACCCCGACGGGACCCTCAAGTGAGTGCCTGGGGGGCAGGGCCCCAGGAGGCTGGAGCTCACTGAGAGAGAGCCCCGCTCCTCTCTCTTAGTTCAAGTTCCTCGCCAAGCACTGCATGGACCCCCAAAGTGAAGATGGCCTTCCATCTCAGACTTGTTCTGTGGGTCCTTCTAATTACCTGCACTCACGCACATGACTTTTTCGAGGCACTAGAAAGACCTTGATGATATTTTAGTCCCTGGATGTCGGGAGGCAGGGGACACCTAACTCATTCTTGGTGTACATCAATGAAGCTACTCATTCTGTACGCTGCAGGTAAAGATATAAAGTATCTTACCTTTTGTACACTGGAAGGTTAATTCAGTGAAGAAACTTGAAAACAATTTTTCTTCATTAAGTATTATTTTTAAAAAGAAAACTGAAGTGCTGGATTAAATAAAAAACTTCCCTCTCCTTGAATATCTCTGGTGGTGGTCAAGGCTAGCCCATGGCTTCTGGGAAGCATGGCACCCCAGTCCCAAGCTGTGCGTCTGGGCTCAGCTCAAGCCCCTCATCACCCCCCTCACCCACCCCCAGGGAGGCCGGGCTTGAATTCAGGCTACAGAGAGTGGATCTCCCATGACAATCTCTTGTCTTGTTTTTCCTTGATACACAGAAATATTTTATTCTAGTACATTGGTTAAGAATTCCAATTTTATACTTTGTTTCCTCCAAAAATATTCTTAGGCCCTATATTAGGGTTCTCTAGAGAAATGGAATCAAGTGTGTGTGCATGGAGAGAGAGAGAGAGAGAGAGAGAGAGAGAGAGAGAGAGAGAGAGAGAGAGAAGGAGGTTTATTGTAAGGAATTGGCTCATGCGGTTATGGAGGCTGACCAGTCCAAATCTGCAGTGTGGGCCAGCAGGCTGGAGACCCAGGGAGCTGATAGTGCACATGAAATCTGAAGGCATTCTGCTAGAGAATTTTTCCTATTGCTCAAAGAGGCAAGTCTTTTTGTTCTAGTTGGGCCTTCAGCTGATTGGATGAGGCCCACCACTGCATGAAGAGCAATTGACTTTACTAATTAAAATGTTAATCTCATCCAGAAACACCCAGAATAATGTTTGACCAAATTGCTGATCATCCAGTGAAGTTAACCATCACAGGCACCTTTGTATTTTAATCCTTAAAATTTGATTTAAGCAAGTGTTGGTTTTATCTCCTGGTTATTGAGAATCACAGGAAAGTGTTCTTAGCAGAGATCACTGTTACTGCAGTTTTCTCTGCCACCCTATTATGCCTGCATAAGTTGAGTAGTCCGCTTTTCTCCAGCGCTTTCTGGAATCATTTGCTGAACATGGGAAAGGCAGAATACGAACAATGCATTGATTTCCCCCTAGGAAGTCAACATCTTGGCACACAGCACTCCGTTTAAGGAAAAAATCTGAGAAAAAAGATAAAGACGGCAAACGGGAAGGCAAGTTAGAGAACGGTTATCGGAAATCACGGGAAGGGCTCAGCAACAAGGTATCTGTGAAGGTGAGTACAGGCATTTCCCGGAACCCGTGTCAGAGTCTGTGTCGTTCCTGGGCGGCAGGAGGTGCTGGCGCTGGCCCCAGAGCATTGTGGAGGGAAGCAGCTCCTGACCAGGGCCCCAGGCTTGCTTGGCAGCTACATGCCACCCACCACGCCGCCTCCCTCTGCCCCGCCGGCAGATCCTGTGGGGCTTTGCAGAGGGCTCTTGGGGATGGTGCTGGCTGGCACAGGCACACGCGTGTATTCTAAGGAGGCAGGTATACACGTGGACACCTCGCCAGGTGCATGCCTGGCTTTTACAAAGGGCACTGTTAGGTTTCCAGTAGAAGCAGAGACTAGATTCTCGGAAGCAGACAGTGCAAAGCAGCTGTGGCTCAGACTTCCTTCAGTGCCCTCCTCAGACCACAGGGGAAGTGACTAGATGCCGAGGAACAGGTTCATTCACTCTAGCAAATTCCCTAGCTCACCCTGCCTGGTGGCTCAATTGGTTGGAGCATTGTCCTGTACCCCAAAGGACTGTGGGTTCGATTCCTGATCAGGGCGCATACCTAGGTTGCATGTTCCATCCCAGGTCAGGGCACTTATGGGAGGCAACCAGTCGATGTGCCTCTCCTCCCCCCCTTCTCTGAAAATCAATAAAAACATATCCTTGGGTGAGGATTTAAAAAAAAAAATTCCTGGCTCCAATCAGCTTCACTCTTTATAATCACATTGCTTTAAGTGGGGGGATGGGGGGTGCCTGGAGAAAAAGAAAATACCCCCTAATGGGAATCTGGGGACCCTGGGTCAGGACACAGGCCACTCTGCAGAAGGAAGGGGTCCAGGGATGGCTGGACTCAGCTCATGGGATGGGAAAACTGTACATCTCTGAGTTTAAGCAGCACTTGTGTTTCAAATTCACCCAAATTCTTACGACAGGAAGCTTCACATGTGTTTAAAGGAGTGAAAATGTGGTTGATTGTGAATGAAATGGGGCCAACTAAGTCATATTTCTGCTCTTCTTTCAACAATAATTGTAGCCTTGGAATGAAAGTCCTGTATCTCAAAATAGGCTGTGGTTTGGGTTAATACCTGTGTGCTTTTTCCCTTTCAGCTTCTCAATCCCAACTACATTTATGACGGTGAGTGTACAGTCGTTCCTTCTGGTCTTACAGGTTGTGGTCCAGGGGCATGTCTCAGAACACTCAAGCATAGCCTGGGGAAACGGGTTTTCTGTGGAGCTCCTCAGGCAGCACCTGAGGTCCCATCTATGTGTTAGGGAAGCCGTGGGGGGCGTGGGGCGCAGCTCAGAGGACCCACAATCCTGACTCCTTTCTCCTGCAGTTCCCCCAGAATTCGTCATTCCCTTGAGTGAGGTCACGTGTGAGACAGGGGAGACCGTTGTTCTTAGATGTCGAGTTTGTGGACGCCCAAAGGCCTCGATCACCTGGAAGGGCCCTGAACACAACACCTTGAACAACGACGGCCACTACAGCATCTCCTACAGGTGAGAAGGCTCACTCACGGGTCGGTTTCGCAGGCTAGTGTCACTGTGAGCGACATCATCGAGACCCATGGTCGCCTTTTGCACTAGGACACTGCCCATGGGGAACATTTCATATCCGGGTGTGCAACTAAAATTAAAACTGCATTTGAAATTCCTCACCAGTCCTTGAGCTCCTACTTTTCTGTGACCCTGAAGGAGAGAGGTTAGGGGCTGCCCACTGGGAGGCTGGGCCTTTCTGACACAGCTTTGTTCCCACCTGTGCGGCAGTGACTTGGGAGAGGCAGCTCTGAAGATCGTTGGTGTGACCACAGAAGACGACGGCATCTACACGTGTGTCGCTGTGAACGACATGGGCTCCGCCTCATGTTCGGCCAGCCTGAGGGTTCTAGGTGAGCCGCACTTCTGAGCTGAAAACTCAAGTCTATGAGTCCCCCTGCCCCCAACACGGCCAGAAACATAGGACAATGTGTCACTGTGGGCCTTTCAAACAAGAGCTGCAAGTAGCAAACTGCATTCTCTGGGACGTCCCAGGGTGGCTGACCTCTGGGCACCGCTCACAAGGTCAGGCCTCTGACCACGGCCATGGTCACTTGAGCCTCTGGGTTGGAACAAGGTGCCTTCTGTGCTCTGTGTTCTCAAAACACATTCTTGTATCCAGTTTCTCTTTGGTATAATTACTCAGTTGACGCTTTGGCTCCAAGAGTCTAATCTAAGTTGGTTCGTGTGGATACCAGTGAAAGGGAAGTAAGGGAAGGCGGAGTGTGGTTGAGGCCCCTGCATGCTCTGTGCCTGTCTCGGACCCTAACATCCTTTCTGGTGGGTGTGTCCTCCTGTCCCTTCCTTGAGCTCAAGGTCTGTAGACTTCTTTGCTGCATATACCGAGCTCAGGGCAGGTGCTCTCTTGCAGGTCCAGGGAGTGATGGGATCATGGTGACCTGGAAAGATAACTTTGACTCCTTCTACAGCGAAGTGGCTGAGCTTGGCAGGTACGATCCGGAGCCCCTCTCAACAGAGCAGCATGTGGGATGTAACTCACTGTAGCAATAGACAATAAAGAGAAACGGTGTGTTTGCCAGCATTGGAAGTTATAGGTATTACATTTGCAATGCAACCTGTAAACTCTGTTCACTACTAAACGTTGAGGATGTAACAGAGACATTCGCAGTTTAGGTTCCAAGAGAATTTTGACCCAGTGCCACATTTTCAACCTGTTTTCCAGGGGCAGATTCTCTGTCGTTAAGAAATGTGATCAGAAAGGAACCAAGCGAGCCGTGGCCACTAAGTTTGTGAACAAGAAGCTGATGAAGCGTGACCAGGTCACCCACGAGCTTGGCGTCCTTCAGAACGTCCAGCACCCGCTCCTCGTCGGCCTCCTTGACACCTTCGAGACCCCCACCAGCTACGTCCTGGTTTTGGAAATGTGTGTACACCCAGACTTTCCTCCTCTTTGTAACCCTCTGCCTCAACTTCAAGTGTTTCATTGTGGTTTCAGGTAGAAATCAGGATTTTAGGATCCACAGAACTTCTAAAATATATGTCTACTTTCAGACAACCGTTTTAGAGCTTTCCAGTAAATGTAGAAGGAAAACAGTCTTTAGTATGTGCTGTCCCATGAGGGAGCAGCAAGCCTAGCATCACCATCCAGCTCCTGCTGGGTCTCAGCCAACCTGGAGACGCTACCTGGTCCCTAAGGGTGCTGAGAACTCCAGGCCTCTGACGATGCACACCCTGGGGTAGGCTCCC